GCAGATGTTTAGCTTAGCTGTGACTTTAGAACTAATCACTTAACAGAAAATCTAAAGGGAGATGTATAGTTTAGCAATTGCTTGTGGAAATCATCTACATTTTTTTCAGACATGAGGCAGATGAGGGAGATCTTCTACACCTGGATAGCTATGCTGTTTACGGAGTGCGAGGCCTTTCTGAAGGGTCCGTGAAGATTGGCTGGGCTGCATGATTTTGGATTGCCTTATACCACTCAGATGCTAGATACAAGCAGCTTTTACTCCTACTGCCTAGTGATCATCTGCTGACACTGAAGAAATAACTGACAGATTTCTGTAGTTTTGCAGATCCATTTCAGAAAGGGCGTCATTCTCATGCTGAGGTATAATTCCCTTTTCAGAGGGAAATGTGGGTAGGGCAACAAAAGCAGCAACAGCAATGAGAAGTTAAAAACAAACTTGTGGAGTTTTACTTTGTTGAGGGAATTTAAGGCAGATTTTAGGAGAGAGAAAGCTCTCCTGCATCTGTAAGCTTGTTTGTTACACTGCAGACTCTTCTTGTTAGCGTCCTACTAGTATGTAGAAATCAGATTTGGGTTTTATTGCACTACATGTTGTGCAAACAAAATAAGGAGTTATGCCTTCTTCAGTGAGTTTAAAACAATGTCAGGGATGGATAAATAAATAAATGGGCATAGCAGGTATTATAGAAAATGGGTAGCAGAGAGAATGAAAATTAAAATGAGAGGAAGGTAAGCTTATGCAAAGTTTGCAAGGTCGACATTCTATTATACATTGAAAAGACTACAGATATCATTAGCTGTAGGCATAAATTTCTAATAGTACAAATGAATAGAGTGGAGCCTGTAGAGGCCTGTGTTTTACTCTGCCTTTTCCCAATGTCGATAGGTTGACTTGGCAGCGTGATACAATATGTAAAAGTCTGCTTACTATGTGAGTAAACTTAAAAAAAAAAAGGATTTTCAATGATCGGTAGGGCACTACACCCAGATGTAATCTGTGCAAGGTTAAGTGATGCAGTATAAGAGGCTGTGACTATGACAGGATCTGGTAGCTGTTCATACAGATTAAAGTATTTATTATTCATATTTTATATAAAACCTGAATTATTCTAGGCCATGTAGTAGTCAGAACAGAAAAGACATCTTTTCTTAATGTTTAAAGAGCAAGGTGTGAGATTCGTCTTCGTTAACTTTACCAGCTCTGAGGTTACATGTCTCATGTAAACTTGTCGCTTTAGGCTTTGTGTGTAGTCAATGAAGAAATATGGGAACCTTCAAAGCACTGTTCATCCCACCTGTCTCCAAACAGCTGCTTTAAGGTGCCTTTTTCTTTCACTGACATTAGAGGGAGCCTTGTTCACCAGCTGACAGTAGACACCTGATTTTTGACATTTAAATTTGGGTGGGTGAATTCTTGTCCATAACAACTGACTTGAGTAGAGGCCAGAGACTTCAGTCTTCTGTACAGCAGTCTAACAAACTCTCCTGGTGATTTTGAGCTAGACATTTCAGCAGATATTTTCAAAATTAGCAGATCTTGTTAAATGTCTGGCTCTTGTCCATCTTCCATTTCTTCCTCCAGGAAGTATTGCTTTCCAGCCTCTGTAGAGAGATTTGAAATTCATGAATAAAATGCAAAATAAAATAGTGCAGTAGGATTGTTGTTTATTCAGCTTCAAGTGGAACCAAAGTGTTTCTGGAGAAAGAAAAAAAAGCCCAAGTAAAATTATTTATAGTACAAATGCACAGCAGTTCCTTGAGACTAATTTTTTTATGGTGGGTGGGAGACTGTTAACTGCTGTGTAATTTCCAATAAGTCATTTTCTTAGTCTTGTGCCCTACCTTTCTGGCATACCAATGAATATCAGGATAGCTTATGAGGCTTTCAGGTTAGAGTTAACACTAAAACCCATATTTTTCTCTCAGATGTGTTAGTGTACTGATATTATTAGTCCCATGTCTGCTAGCCTCTGGATATTTCCCTTCCCAGGACCATCATCAAAACTAACTCTGGATATGACTATGTTATGAAAAATATAATATCAGTGGGAAAAGAAAAAAAAAATTAAAATCTGACAGCCACATAGTATCAGTAGTGGATCATGTGAAGAATAAAGACACCAGCCCCCATTTCAGCCTCATTCATTGTGCCAGCTGTTTTCCTCCATGCTCTCTTATTCAAGAGTTTTCCACTACTAGGCTATAGCAATTAAAGTTAAATTGCTGCGTGAAATTCAGTTCTCACTGTTAAGGAGTCCAGATGTCTGGTTCATCCTCCCAGGATGTCCTTTTATCAGTGCTGGGGAAACCGTCGCAGTTCCCCGCTACTGCAGAAGTAAACTAGATACACACATGGTCAAATTGCTGTGTTCATTCCTCCGCTCTGATCAGGTGCAGGGCTGCTTGAGAGGTACCCCCAAGCAGCTCTGATGACACGATCTGTTACCCTTTATATTCCCCTTTTCCACCCCCATGCTTTTTCCTCTACTATGCTCATGCACTCCCAGATAAACAGCCTGTCCCTGTTTATTCTTACCCACTAGCTCCAATGTTGCTGATTTTACATCCTTATTCGGTATTTATGATAGGGTTGCCCTAGTAATTTCTGCCTCGGTCAGCAGTGCTGTTAAGCTAGTACCCCTGTTCGTGCTGTTTCTTGGATTGTTATCTTGTTAGTGTAGCCGCAAGTCAAGGTTAGCCATCTGCACCTGCATTACTCCCTTTTTGCTATTGGTTATGCCCGGTAATTTCTCACGTTGTTATCTTGTTAGTGTAGCTACAGTTCAGGTTCAAGAGTTTGCACACATACCCTCGCACCCAGAAGCCAGCCTGGTGCAACTGCTGGTGGAAGCACCTTCTCCTTCATCTGCTTGGTCTGAATTACCAGAGACAGCTCTCATGGCCAGCAACAGCTAGACCTTGAGGGAAACATCACACTTAATCTTCAGCTGTCCGCCTGCCCTTCCCCTCTTAATAAGGCCACAAAATACTTGCACATGGTCCAGCCTGTTGCTGCATCTTCTGGCATATTGTATGTATTTCTTCATGTATTTCTTCCTTGGCTGCCTTACAGTGGTGACCCAGAGTGGGAAATGCTCATTAACCCTTTTGTCCTGGACCAGACAATGGCCTACTTTCTGGTGACTTCTTCCGTTCTCTGCCCAGTCTGGCCTCTGAGCCATGTGGAGAAGTTCCCCAGAAAGGGGTCAGTTATTCTGTGCAGGCCGTCTTCCTGGAGATTGTTCCTCTCCCATTTACCCAGATTACCTCTGTAGCAACTTGAGAGTGAAAACTGGTTGAATGGGAATGGGAATGGCTGCATTAAAAGGATCTGAGGCCTATGCCAGATTTTTTATGGGGAAGCTTTCCCCAGCTAGAAGACAAAAAGGAGGAGTTCAGAGAGGTTGTATGCTCCACCCACCTGGCTTAATTCAGAACTACACTGAAGACAACCTGCCAGCATACAAGGTCGCCTATAGAAGTTTCCTTTTAATACAAAGGCCAAATAAATATTTAGGTGTCACGATGGAACTGCATCTTTCAGTTTTTCCCAATTATTTGCTAGGGAACAGCAAGAAGAAGTGGAAAGGTGCCTTGTCTAGTGCCCGAAGTAGTTGCTGCTGCTGTGGCCGCTCACCTGTATGGTGTATCTTCCTCCTTGGGCTTACACATGTGGTAGCAGGGAGTTAGAGATTATTTTTTTCCTGAGGTAGAAGAAAAGAAACCAAATCATAGAGAAAAATTCTAGACTAAGTAAACCGGCAGTGTACCTGGTTTCATTTATCTATCTATCTAGTATCAGCTTACATTTCCCTGCCATCAGACCACCATGTCACACTGCAGTCTGAGACAGCACCTGCAAACCAAGCAAGTGAAAGTATAATGATGAGGGTTAGAATTAAATTTCTCTATCCACAAAAAAAATGCATCTCCTTCCACATTCGGATGGCTCTTGATATGTCATAAGACATATCGCCATGCTAAGTAATAAGAACTATACAGTAGTTTGGTAAAAAAAAGATAATTTGCACCCTGAACCTCATGATTTGTTTCTTATTGACAGTTTAGTAGGACAGTAGGTAATACTTAAGATAAAAAAAGGGATGATTCTTTGAGTTCAGGTTTGAACTAAATCCAAATTTTGAATGAGTGTAGGGTTTTTTTTTTATTTTTGGCATGGTCCACCGCTTCTGGAAATGCCAATCTGCGGCAAGCCGATCATACTGCCACAATAACAGTGCTATGCAAACAAGATTTCTATTTGGGTACAATATGAAGGGTGAGCAGAGATTGTCCTTTAAGCTGTCCTTGTAAATAAAAACAGCCCCCATGAAATTCAGCTTAGACCGGGACTTTATCAAAGAGAGAGATTGAACAAATCGTTTGGCAAATATATTTAGAAGACACAAAATAGGACTTTGGGATCCCTTCATTACGTGTTCTTTGTTTAAATGTAGCTTGTCTACCCTGACTCAATTGCAATTCTGTTTCTGTAAAATATTTTGCTTTCCATACAAATTGCTGAAAAGAATTTTCAAAATGTCAGTATGTGTTAAGCACTTAGTATTCCTAGGATCTTCTGAAAAGCCCATCTGCTATGCAAATTAATATCTAAGAGTAATTTCTGAATGGGTATTCATAGAGGCATGGTTCAGAAGAACAATTAGCATATGTTTACCTTCCATTGATTTCCGTAAAATATAGATTTTTACTTGAATACTTTATACAATGAGGAATGATTTCCCAAGCTGAAGTTGTATGCATTACAACTAATAATATCAATATATTGTTTGCTTATTAATGGATTTGAATTTTATTTGTGCGTTCCTCCACCAAGTTCAATTATCAGTGATGGAAAATACATCCATTCATTTAATTATTCGTGAAGCGTGTCCTGCGTGATTGTGTTATTCCCCACGCTGTGGGATGAGGTGACTTTTTTTCTCAGTTGCTTTCAGCAGCGCGTGTCCCCGCTGACTCTTTCTTCCTGTCCCCTAGTGCATCTGGTGGACATCTGGAACGTGATAGAAGCCTTGCGGGAAAACGCATTGAACAACCTGGATCCCAACATCGAACTGAACGTGGCTCGCCTGGAAGCTGTGATTTCAACTATCTTCTACCAGCTCAACAAACGGATGCCGACAACCCACCAGATCAATGTGGAGCAATCCATCAGCTTACTGCTCAACTTCTTGCTAGCAGCCTTTGATCCGTAAGTCTGCCTTTCTTAGCCACATGTGCTTCCCTGCTCTCCTGACTGGTGAAAGGATTTTGCTTGCTCTGGAAATATCTTTGGAAAACAATTGAACAAGCTAAATTGTGACCCAAATAATGAACATGTGAATAGTGCTAACTAGGGAGAGAACCTAAATTAAGGACCTCTGCTTTCCTTTCTGATGAGCCAAATTCAGCACAACTGTGTTTTCATCCAGTTACTCAGACTTGTTCCAGTTTATATCAAAGAAGAATTATCTACAGAAACAAATTTACATCCACTTCTAATTTGCCATGTTATTTATTGACACACCAGTGGCTGACACCACTGCAATGCCTCTGCAGCAGTGCCATGGGTTAATAGCTCATCATTTTGAAAGAGCTCATTTTCCTGCAAGTTCTTGCAGCTGTAAGCAATTTTTTTTTTCTGGCTCATGCCAGTGCAGCATGATTTTGAGACCATGACAGAAATAGGATAAAGACCTGGAGGTGATGAAATGCATGTTGTTTATTACTGCATGGGACCCATATTACAAAAAGGACAATTTTGAGATAGAGCGAGCCACTTACCTTAACAAGTATACTGTGTGTACATACTACAGTTTCTGAATACATAGTCATCAACTGTACTGCAATATTTGCAATCCTGAAAACCGAATTATTGGAGAACAGTGGTTAAGTCTGACCTATTGCCTATTGCAGATGACCTATTGCCTCCTTGTGGCTTATATTTTGAAAATTCACCAGCTGAAAATACTGGCCACGACACATTAAAATAAGTATGCTGCCCCTCTCCCCCTCCCTCTTTCCCATCCTGTTGCTTGAGGGCCCCAGTGCTGGGTGTCGTCGAGCACCTTTCAGAGCCAGACCAGCTGGCGACTCAGTCGCCATGGCAACGGGGAGAAAAAGTAGATGGTCCATGTGATGAGGCTGCACCCAGCCTCCCCTCTGGCCCCTCCAAGGGAAGAAAAAGAAGCCAATCCATTGTGAAACCATAGCCTTCAGGAATATTTTTCTCCCCTCAAGGGCGATAAAAGAAGGAACAAGCATTTTAATTTATACCATTGTGGCTGTGACAAGAACACTAAAGGACGATGAAAATGGCCAGACGCATGCATTGCTGCATGCCGCAAGCAAACTGCTTCCCGGCTGGTAAACACAGGGAAAGACCCAGGACTGTGGGGGCAAGACCTGCGATAACATGCTTGTTTTGTAGCTCACTGTACAGGGGTAAAGATCTCGGCTAGACGTCAAGGCTACTTGCAGCAAAATGGAGGAGAGGATTTTACTTCCCTGTAGGGAAACAGAGAATGTGCTTAAAGGGGTAAGGTTTTGCTTTCCCTGAAAACATCCCATGTGCTGTGGGCCGTGACCTGTTTCTGGGCTTCACATCAGGCCCTCCCAGGGGTGAGGAGGCTGTGACCCTCACTCCGTTCGCCAAGCAGCAACTCAGTCTGTCATGCTGCCTCCGAGCGGGGTGCACAGGATGCACTTCCCAGAAGGACAGAGACACCCAAAGGACGCCCAGGAAGAGGCTCCCAGCTCTGGGGTCGGAGATAGGGGCTGGCTGCCTATCACCCCATTTTAAATGCACCAAATATCTGGGATGAGGTTTAGGTGCAATCTGAGATATCTAAGTTCAGGCTTCATGGCGGTGTGTGTCAACTAGATCTCTCTTTACTGTAATGCGAGTTTGGACACCTGTCACAGATATAGACATAAAAGTTAAGCGTCTGATTCTCAAAATGTGCCCTACCCTTTAGTATGGTTCAGATTATTGAAATTTTGGGTCGGGTGTTGGTTTAGCAACCACTGGTGGTCCAGATTTCCCTGTTCCTGGGAAACAGAGGGAGGGAGGGAGGTGGCTCTACATGCTACAGGGGTGGTGTGAGAGCTGCTGGGGTCTAACCAGAGCTGATGTCTCTGCTTCCTATGTTGCTCCCTTCCCTCCCCTTCCCTGCAGTGCAGCAGAAAGGTCCTTCTCTGCTGAAGGCTACAAGTTGGTAGAAGGAGGAGCAAGGTCTTTTCTGGTGGTCCCATGCTCAGAGGGAAGCAATGCACTGCATATAGGGGGAACAGGCGTGGAACTGTGAGGCAGGATGAAGTCTTTTTCTTACTCTCCCCCCATTTATAGAAACTGGACAGTTAAACTAGATTGCCTGCAGTCTTCTCTGATGAAAAAAGGGGTTTTACTAGGTGTGTGAATCATACTGATATCACAACAGTCACCCCTAAAATAGTCCTGTTATCTTTGATCTCTTCAAAGGTTCACTTCTCTATTTCTTAGCCTTGTGTTTTAAGAAAACAGTTGGCCAGCAGAAATGCCATCCAAATTTCTAGGTGGCTACTGAAGAACTATTTTTCTTGTTTATTAATGAATGTTAATATGATCACGTTTGATTATATGAATGCAGACAACAATGAAAAAAAACCCAAAACCCTAAAAAACCCAAACCAGCTTTCTAAGACCAAAACAGTAGACCAAGACCAAATAGCTCTTCAGTATAAATGAGAAGGCTGTTCTAAGTGATCATGGATGTTTTTGGTGTTTGTGGCTACGCAGAGCGATGGCTGCTCCTGCTGTATGGTGGGCAGGTCCAGAAAAGGTTGTGTGGTTTCTCATGTCTTGCTTGAAATGCAAAGAAAGAAAGTGGAGAAATGGAGTCTGCGACGTAACATATATGAAGGGACCACAAGGGACAAGTTAATGTGTGATATAAAATCTAATAAGCTTACCACTGTCTCATTTATTTAGTTCTAGTTAATATATACTGCCTCGCGTGTACTGTGCTGGCTGAAGATCCTCCAAGCTTTAAACAGAGCTTCTTCCCTCGTTTATAGCCTGCTGAAAACCTGGCAGGTGTCTCTGCCCTCTGGCAGGGAGTATTTCCCTAGGCCTGCAATACAGATGTCTTCTCAGGAGCTAGAACCTGGCTAGCAAAACTTAAGAGGAACCACAGCGCAATGCTGTGGCATGTGGGCCAGCTTGGCCACTGCCTGTGCTGAACTTTCATCGCAGTTTTTTTATGATGTTTTCACAGCCTCGGGGATTCATTAGGCCTACAGGTAATTATATTTCCCTGCTGCCTAACCCTGAAGGGAGGAAAAAGTGGGGAAAAATTATAGCATATAAGATTTCATGTGACGCTGAGTGTGATGCTCCTTCATGCTAAGCCAAAACTAAAGTGCAACCTTATAAAACGGCAAGTCAACAAAATCAAAATTCACAAACAGAAATGCTGCTCCAATTAATTTGCCGTTAGTGTATAAAAGTCAGCATCACATGGTAGAGGACCCTGACAGACCAAAACCAGTGAGCAGAATGAGACGGTCAGACTTTAAAAAATCTGGACAAAAACATGCCTGATTTGCATTTTTAACTGCACATTAAAACTGGGCAATAGCTTTTGCTTCAAGGTCTAAGGTGTTTAACTGGCTTTATGAAATAACACTAGCGCGCAAGTACTATATAAAAAGATGGCAAGTTCAGACCTCTCTGAAAAATTCATCCCAGGCCGGTGTCAAAGCCTAGGTGGCTAGGTGGAATGTCAGCCTCATTCAATCGAGCCGTTCCCAAAAAGACTCTTTTTAAACAGACTGTAAAATATTCTGTGCTAGATCATCTTCAGCACTGACTCAGTATTGCAATACGGCTATTCCTGCTGCAAAGTTTAACTGACAAGAAAGTAGCTGATTTTTCTCTGTCCCTTGACATTCCTGTCCTACGAATGGGGTTGTGAGCTCTGGGCTATGAAACAGACCCAATCTGGCTGGAGGGGCTTGACTTCTACAAAGAAAAGAGGAAATGTTCATGCCTTTGTTTAATCAAATGCACATTTAAATCATACCAAGTTCAATACATAAAGATGTTCAGAATCTGTTTTGGAAGTATAACTTCTTGCTCATCCATCTATTCAGATCTGTAAAGTGTTTAATACCCTCTCTTCTCCACCTTCAGTAGTCACTGGAAGCCATACAGGCCAGCTAGCTTTTACGAAGGAAGTCCAGCGAAAAAAAAGCATTTCAGAGATTTGGTCATTATGCATTTTGCTCTCCTAAATGAAAGAATTTTGCTTGATTCCAGTAAAATTTCCTCTCCAAAACCTGTTTGTGTAAATGGGAATTTGTAATTATAGCCTCTGACATTTCAGAATCGGCTGCCCTGATTAAGGTGGGCAGCAGGAGGCCCACAAGCAACTGAAGAAATTTTGTTACTTTTGGAAAAGATAAATTAAAGCGTTGGGGGAGCACCACTTCATACCTAGTTAATGAGAAAAATCATATTTTCTCAATGTCCATTTCATGGGACACATTTGCTATTTCTAAAGACGTGATGTTATTTATAGCTTTCCCCACCATATGGCTGTCTCAGGATGAGTATTGCTGGAGATCCTGACAAATGTCAGTGTCATCCATTTGGTACCGCTCTCCTTGCTGACCCGAAAGGCAAATTCAGGCCCTGGAGCTGGACTTATCCTTGTATGGTGTGTGGATTTTATCAGGCAGTCTGTGGGGCTTCCTTGCTCTGGGGAGAGGCTGTCTTTCTCTGCAGCCACACATTTGAAGAGGAAACCTTCTGCTCTGCTCTGGTGTCTAAAAGCATGTATTATTTTTTGCCCTTTTTTCCCCAAGCAGCAGGAGATAACCTTAAGCCCTGGCCATCATTCCCTTTCCTAAGTACTCCATCCTGTGTTGTGGCTAAGTGCATATCAGCTTCAAGGTTTGCCTTTGCCATCGTTTATGGTATTTTTCTGTAGGGATCTGAAGAGTAACCTCAGTAGGAGAGGTGCTATATAAAATCAAAATATTTTCTGTCCTCTCCTATTTCCACTAGTAAAATTTATATGTCTTTGCATTAGCCAGCCTAAAGCTTCTTTCAGGGAGCACCGACTTCAACAGAGATCTTCATGTTGCTGTGAGCCGCTGCTTCAGCGTTTGCTTTTATGCCGCAAACACTGAGAGGCCCCAGTGCTGCCAGTCAAGGGCATCTGTGGTGCTTAGACTTAGCTTAGGGCACTTCTGGATCCAAATTATATTGGCAAGTCTTAGACCCCATTTTCCTGTCCGTTCATCAGTCATAGGTATTTATATATGCATGTGAGTATATGGATGCACACACATACGCACACACGTATATATTTGGAGGGCAAATTGAATTTATACTGGCTCTAGTGATGCTTTTATGAATACAAATGACTGATACAAAATACAGTGTCAAAACTAATCAACTCAAACTGAGAGACTGAAGAGAGAAATGAAAGCTTTTCTTTTTCTGTTCCTCTGTTCCATAACTGTTTGAGTATGGGAAAAGCTGATGGCTCTGGGGTGGAAAGCTGAAGGCAAGTTGATATGTGTCTGCCATTCAAGAGTGTAATCCTGTTAGTAAATGTAGCTAAACCTACTGGGAAAAATAATCTAAATCTGAAGCACTTCCACATGGGCTTTATTTTTCCCTCTAATTCTTCCATTGCTTCTTAATAATGCCATTGCTTCTACTTAGCATTTATTTTTCTTAAGTGTAACAACTCTTTTAAAGGCAGATGAAAACCTCATGATGAAACAGTGCAGAAAAAAAAAATTCCCAAAGGTCTAAAGGGTAGCACGCACAAAAAGAATACAAAATGGACAAATTCTCAGCCATAGCTGCAGCAGTGCTAGATCCTGGTTTACACAAATTAGAATCCAGCCAACAAAGGATGGAAATACAGAAGACTGGAAATTCCTATAGTGTGATTTTAATCTTAGGAAGCTATTCAAAGAGAACGCAATGCCATGAGAAAGAAAATGTGCATGAAAGCCAAGCATTATAAACATAGTAAAGATTTATTTCTTAAATACTGAAATAGTTAGGTTTTTTGTTTACATCTCTGGTTGATTTTCTGACAAAAAGCAGAATTTTAAATGCATGTAAAGAATATTTAGAGTTAATATTTAGTGGGTTACACATGGGTTACATTGAGCTAGAACTAAATCCAATTCACCAAACTGTATAGGTTATCAGCTAGCCAAGCTTAGAAAACTGACTCATTTTGTAAAGTCTGAGTGACTTAGTAATGAACATAGCAGTGAAGCATGTAGCATGCTTTAATGTACTGATATGAGTATGCCATTCATGTCTACTACATATGTATATGTTACTGTATAAGTCTGGCTTGAGGTGGGCAGAGAGAGAGACACGGTCACAGGCTCTGTGTCTTTCCAGAATCAGTTTATCTTTTAGTTCTGATCAGACACAATTTTCTTCATTAAAACTGCGAGTGACAATCAACAGACTAATTTCATAAATATTGATGGAGAGCTCAATTTCTATATATTGCTATTGCCAGTGCAGTTAGACTATCTTATGTAAGAGATAATTCTATATATTTTAACAGGAAATCCCATATAAGCATAATGTTCCTTGATGGAGTAAAGACTGAAGGTCACAGAACCTCCATTTTCAAAAAATGACACAAAACTTTGTTATCTGGTCCCATCGTTAGCCCTATCAGTAGAATTTAGAAAGAGACATGGGTGCCATTTTGCTAAGCTCACAAGTATTGGCTGACTGTCTCTTTTTTTAAAGCATGATGACAACATGTTCTCACTGATGTCATTAAACAGACATGTGGGAAGATATTAAGTAATGCTAAGGACTTTGGATGACAGAAAAAAGTTGCTCCAGTGCAACTGTGGACTCTGACTGCCTTATGGTAAGACTCAGAGAATTTCAAGAAAAGACACACGTTTCAATATTTGGATGCCCAAAAAATGAACATTAAAAAGGAGATGAACTTAAGAGGGCATGCTCATTCTCATCTTTGGAAAGGGACTGAACATTACAGCATCTTTGTTCTGCCATTCCTGTGAACACTCTCAACTTAGTTTTGCCTAAACTGGGGGGATAGGTCTTTTAGGAGTTGAGAGTGCCTTGCAGTGTGTGAAGTCATGTATTACTCATGCAGCTCAAATATACCAAGGTTTCTATAATGGCAGGTAATCATTGGGCACCATCATGACTGTGGAGGGAGAATGAGGATAGCAAGAAGAGCAATAAAATTAAGGCACTGCATGCTTCAAAGACAGTTGAAGGAAGAGTTGGCAACGTGCTAAAGGTGAACACAGCAACCTGAGAGTGCAGTGTATGGTCTGATCCTTCCAGGAGAAAAAAAAGTCTTTTATTTTTACCTGAAAGTGACTGGATTTACAGAAAAATATGTCTTTTTGCCCCTATGGCATAGACCTGTGTGCATTTGGGATTTAACAGCATTATTCATTTTAAGTTGAAAACAGAGAGCCAGACATAGCCTCAACTTGAACAAACCAGGGACAAGACTGTTCTACATATGACAACAAATGTCCTTTGCTCATTCTCGATGCAGGTTTATTCCCCATATTTCAGCAAAGTCCTTCTTAAAGGTTCATGGGAGTCAGGTGTATCATTTAAAAGGCAATTGTCAGGACTTACTAACAGGTACAATACGCAGCTTGTGCAATCGTGTGGTCCTTTTCAGCTTTTTCACTTTTGTTCTCAGTGTTGATTTTTGCACTTATTTGCAATCTTCTAGGGACAGAAGATACAGAGTGCACTTAGGACAGGGAGGCCATGAGTGTGACAGGTGCCTTCCAGTGCTACTGTAGTACAAACAGGAGTAATAATCATCACCTTAATGTATAATGAGATAAACAGTTTCATACTGAGATTTACATACATAATAAATCTGTTCTGAGATCTTTACAGAACAATGTACTGATGTGTGTTCCCACAAAACAAACTTTGATTTTAAAATTCAATTATTTCTTCATATGTGAATCCACATACAGTGTGCATTACAATATGTCATGTCAATGATATACATTTTAAATGGAAGGAAGTCCATATTATAAAATATGTCTACTTTCTACTTTTGAACAGGGAAGGGCATGGTAAAATTTCCGTTTTTGCTGTCAAAATGGCCTTGGCAACTCTTTGTGGAGGAAAGATCATGGACAAATTAAGATGTAAGTCTTCTGGGTGACCTTTTTTACCTGTTAATCATTGTTGTACTTTGAGAGATAACAGTACAGGTATGAAAAGAAGGAATTAGGATAAATTATAGTTTCATGGCTGGGTTTGGGATTTGCACTATATACACCTCCAAGTAATTCCCACTGAATGTTTGACTGAACTTCACACCAGACTTCATATTTTTGAAGCGAAATTGCATATATTGAGGCTCTGATTGGTGGCCTTTTTTTTTTTCCTTTGGGATGATGGAATTCAGAGCACAGGTAGGTGCCTCAAATGTTCAGCATCATGAAGCACCATTTAACGATTTCTTCAGACTTTTTTTTAATAACATCTCTCTCATTTCACACTTAGAAGTACAATATATTTATGCACTATTTATATTTCTTCCCTTAGGGCACATACTAATTCCATCTCTTTTGGAAAATAGATTCTCATTTCACAGCATTTATTCCCAGTTCCCCAGTAGCCAAGGCATAGTTTACTCGCAGCTGCAATGAAAGATTTTCTATTTAGTGCTACGATAGCTGTAGCTCAAGTCCAAAACACCATTTTCCAGACTTTTTGACCAAAGGATTAATGTCAGCCTTCAGTTTCCTCTGAGCCTTCTACCACAGCCAAAGAAAATTGAGTTTACAAACTGTTGCTGTTTAGATAGACAAGTGGAAGTCCCAGGTGCTAATTTACTCTTCCAGATTTGGTGCCATTTTTTAATATATTATTTCTATGTAGAAACTCAAATGTAGACTGAACTTATATACATTTTAAATTGAACACTGTTATAAGTTGAACACTGTTTGTTCCTTAGGCTGCTTTAAGAATACGGAGCAGGGTCCATCCAGTGGAAGGCTGGAGTACGATCCTGATTTTTCGGGTCAGCAGCCCAGGGTCCTGTTGTCAGAAAATCCCTTCAACGTTCCTGGAAATGAAGCAGCTGACATGACAGTCTGAAAAACGATAAATGTTCCTTAGTCTGTGATCCCCTGCTAAGCTTAGGATACTTCTAAACAAGGGGAAAAGTAAAGGCTGAGAAACATGCATCTCTGGAGAAATAAAACTTTGCAATATTTTTATACATGAACAAAAAAGCAAAAAGGGGAGAAGAGTCAAAAGTAATGCATTTGAAAGACCTTCAGTGCTTTGTGTGTCCAAAACAATAATAACTGACTTAATGAACTCATTGTCAAGATTTATATTCGACATGGTAAGCTGGCAGTAGGCAAAAAGCTGATGTTGCGTATCTTGTCAAATTAGATCCTTCTTATCTGATTAAATTACTGCCTCATGCCATGCATCAGACTTCGCTTCAAAAAATGACCACACACAATGAAAAAGAAGCAGGAATTTTTTAATATCAAAATCAGCTACTTTTTATATGTAAATCATTCTCTTTGTTTTCCAGTGAGTGGGATTATAATTAAAGATGCATTAATAGTGGATGTTTCCATAAGCAGAACATGTTGCTTAGTACTCCTTAGTTCAGATCAGATGATACTGAATTAAGAGCAAATCTGTAGCTCACACTGAAGTTGCTGTGTCCTTTTCTTGTCTTTTCCCCCCTCAGATATTTTCTCAATGATTTCCGACTCCAGTGGAGTGATGGTTTATGGCAGATACGACATGTTTCTGCGGGAGGTTCTCAAGCTGCCCACGGCTGTTTTCGAAGGGCCTTCATTTGGTTATACTGAGCAATCGGCAAAATCCTGTTTCTCGCAACAGGTAAATGAAGAGTGAGCATCCTAGACATAGGATCTCCATCAGCCCTCTGAGCAGGCCAAGACTTTCTTCCTTTCTTACACATATGTGCATATTCACCCAGGAAACGCATGGCTGGGTGGAGGGGAGGTCCACTTTGCTAATTTCTGGCATGTAGGTTAGGTGCCTTCAATAGGAAGCTAATCTCTATAGGTTCCCCATATAACCATGGAGGAGAGAGAGAGGCTTAGTCAAAAAGTGATTTGGAGCAGGATCTTAACTTACATATTCCTAAATTAGGGAGCCTGAGGAGGCTAACTTCGTAATTTAAGCACCTAAGTTAGATACTTACATTTAGGTGATATAAATACCCCAAGACATGCAATCCTCCACTCCAGTTAGTTGTTGTTGCTATAAGCATATATGAGACTTTAACTTCTCCATACAAAGCTCAACTCCCACTGAAAAGACAAACCATGTTTTCCAAGTGATGGTGTACACACATGAGAAGTTTACGAGTGAGTAGAAAATTGCCTTAAACGTTTATTGAAAATGGGAGTCAGTACGTATTAGAAAATCCCTCGTCTCTTACAGATAGCATCGGTGAGGTAGGGTCAGGAAAGCAATTAATTTATCCTGAAGAAAATACAAGATTTTTCCGCAGCTTACCAGACTGTAGGTGCACTGAGTACAGTGCGCTGGCTGCGGCTAATACCTAGCATTTCAAAAGATCCCATAATCGGGGCTGGTTGTCCACTTCTCCAATGGAGAAGGAGAGAATTCCCCTGGCTCTTGCCACACATCACACTATATAATTCCATAAATATAAAGTAAAGGAAGATGCTGAAACTGGGAAAATGGTAGAAATAAAGTGGTATTTTCCTTCTCTTTATCCTTCCATTTGCTAACTGAATACTGTTGAACAAATAAGTTGAATGGAGCAGGAATAGCGTCATTTTCATGCAAAATAGAGTCTCATTTTTTGTTTTCCCTCAGTTTCATCTCTAATCAATAGGCACTCCAGTCAACTGAAAGGCATTGTTGAAATTCATTTATTGAATCATGTCCCAAATCGTTTTAAATGGTAATGTTTGCATATGTGAAACTAGTCTTGTTTCACAGCGGGAGACTTAAGACAGCACTTCATCTTATGTTGAAGAATTTACATAGTGAAGTGACTTTTGGTAGTTTTATGTTAAAATAATGAAAGAGCGCTCCTGCATGGCAACGGGGCATTCAAGCTTTGCATGTTGGACATGGTATTATTAAAGATGAAAAAAGCAATTTCTTTTCTTGAAAAAATGTCATTCAGGCCTCATTTTCTATCTAAGCAGCCATCAGAAATGGCACTTTCATTGACATTGCATCCAAATGAGTGGAACAGATGCACTAAGGTACCTTACCTCACAATCTCCACTTAAAGCTAACGAGAGTTAGGTCTCCGACTGATGTGGGTACACAGCAGATTTACAAAGCTGCTGTTTTGCATCTGCAGGCAGCCAAGTGCTCTTGTAAATCTAGTCTAATATTTCACTTAAATTCACTTTATGTAATTCTCATTACGTCTTCATTAGGGATGAACCAGAGTTTTGAAATGAGACTCAAAACAACATATCCCTATGACACCATGATAAATGATACTCACAGTCTTAGTCACACTCTGGGTCATTCTTTCACTCTCTCATATTGCACTTAGTGTTATCAAAAGTTGATACCTTCGGATAAGTTTGGCACTCTCTCTGTTGTTCTCAGTATGGATCACTCTTGCTTACCAGAAGCCTTTCACCCTCCTGATACATAGATTCCTCAATTTCAGGGAAAGAAAAAATTCTGGGAATGATCTTCTGCTCACGGTGTCAAATCCATTTCGGTTTGCATCGGAAAGGATTCTTCCTATTGCAGAAATGTCTTATTATTCCCCATTGTACTGGTTTACGTCATCAAACCATGTATTTTCCTCCATCTGTGAACCACTGCTAGATTGAATGGCTATTCAAAATAGAAACAACAGTGTTTCCTCATCAGCAAATTTATGGAACAGAAATGCCGAGCAAGTGACTTGGTGTTTCAGAATACAAATCCGTGGCTCAAAAAGGAGTTTTATCGCCACCACTTTCCCCCATAGGTAGGATTAATGTAGTGTTACACTGTGTTTGTATTAAAAAATGTTGTTGTTATTATGAAAAACACTTTTTATTTCTCTTTTTTTATTCCAAACTAAAAAGATAGATACTAACTTCATTTTCTTAGCACTTGGCTAAGTGTTATTCCACAAACCTAGACTCCATCTGCATGTAGCATATATTTAGAAAACAGCTTTCAGTTTCAACTTTCCCAGCAGCTGAAAAAAACCGGCAGGAGGAAAATACGCCTTTTAAAGTGTATGGAAATTGCTCTGCTGGTGTCCTTTTAAGGGACACTGCTCTCTGTAATCCATAAAATCAGTGACCACCAGAGAAGTTCGGCCATAAAGCTGTCAGTGAAGCTAAGTTGCTTTATTTGGTGCAAATCAGGTTTTAAATTATAGCTGCATTCAAAAGCCTATTCCATTGTGGAAGAGCTGTTCTTGTCTCCCCGTCTATTTGCTTGTTTAGACGGGTTGTGTGTTTGCTGCCAACTTATCTGCCTTCAAGAGCAGAGGGAAGGCTTAAGGCTACTCAGCTCTGCAGTATGGAGCATTGGAGGACCCTTCTTTTCCTAGACTTAGTTCTGCCTTTTCTCCTCCTGTTCGCAGTTCTGCTGCAGACAGGACAGACATTTGCTGGCAGCATTGGTCAGTAAATCCATGCCAAACATCCGCAGCAGATCTCCAAAAGGAAGATCCTTTTCTGTGAGCTGATGCTTATAGTGTAGGAAGCCCATTTGGGAAGTGGTTATCCACTCTCCATGGGTGGGAAGATCGTTCATACAACAGGCAGGTGGTAGCTGTTTGTTTGGACTTTCATACTGCAGGTATTGTGGGAAAAGGTAGTATCTCAATGAGATTTAAGCTCATATTCTGGCCATTTCTGTTCATTAAAGAATCAAGACCATTTTCACAACTAGCCTGAAGTATTTTCTCTTCTTTTAGGGACAAATACCTTTATATATTTCCCAATATCTTGCAATATTTCAGCCCTGAGACTGTTACAGAGTGAGATGTTTTCCACTGATCGCTGAGTGTATAAGAGAAATAATGATTTTCTTTACGTCTGGTGGCAATTGTATATAAATGCAGCACAGACACTCCATCTGGAAATCTCAGCTCTTAAAAGCACTCCACAACACACAGAGATGATACATGTCACTGCATAGCTGCTATTTTGCTTCCTCATGGGGTAACCACGGTTCTTTAGCAAGTTAAAGCAGTAGCTTATGCAATCAGATATGAAAATTTAGCAATCCCTTTGGATATGGGAATGCTACTTAAATATGTATGTCTATAAATTATATCTGTACACATTCTCAACAGGGCTCAATATTTTTGCATCTTAATTTTATTTTAAAGGAAGGCTCAGGTGCTGATTTCTTAAGGACTCTCTGTCCTTGACCACCCAGTAGCTGTGTACTTTTGTACACACTTATGTAGCCAGTATACTAGATAGGAAAGAGCAAGTATTTATGGCGGCGATATCTCGGGCTGAAATACCACATCTAGGTCTGAAAAAAACCCAAATGAACTAAGATTTGTGCTGACTTTTTCCAGATGCCTAAGAAACTTAAGGCCCTAGATTACATTTTTTAAATCAACAGGGATATTTTAGAGTTTAAATCTCTTTGAAAGATAAAGGGTCATAGGCCTTTAAGTGCTTACAGGTATGGAGGTTTTAGGAACAGTTGCAGTCCCTGAGTGTATGCAAACACAATATCCCACAATCAGAGCTCACCCATAACTAGTTGCCATCACTCAACAGACAAGCGTAGTTTCTTAAATTACAGTAACACAGTTGCCTGTGATGGTCTGTCCTTCCCCTATATTTGTTTTGAAATTATACTCCCTTGTCATTATTTTCTTTCATTTTCTTTTTTGGAGTACCACCAGTCATTCTCTACAGTGGCTTTTCAAGTGAAATTGGTAATACATAGTGATACCCTACATGCACTTGTACTCGTTATGGGGTACTCAAAACACATGAGAACATGAAGAGTTGCGAGTTAAGAGAGAACCTTATTCACAAAGCATCTTCAGGCAATTACTTTAGAAGAGAGTCTTGAAGTGAATGGGAGCTAGGTGTCTCCAACCCAGCCTTGTGAAAAGGACTGCTAGTCATCAGTAGTATACATTGTAACTACTAAAAATAGTCCAGAAAAGCTTTGCTAGTATCATTTGTTCTTTTTGGTAAACCAGGGCTACAAGCAGTGTCTGAAAGTTGTTCCCAAGTGTTTCTGTAAGGACTAGATAAAATCATTTTGATATGTCTAATTACTGATTCTTTGTGCATGTTTGTTTGCTTGTTTGAGCAGAAAAAAGTCACATTAAACACTTTCTTGGATACTCTCATGTCTGATCCCCCGCCACAATGTCTGGTGTGGTTACCACTTCTGCATCGACTGGCAAATGTTGAAAATGGTAAGTAAGAGCTGCTGCCAAAAAACAGTTACAAGAGTAAACTTTTGTGTGATGATTTTCTCACTCTGTAGATGATTTTGTAGGAGCTACTGTACTGGGCTCATTGACTCCATGTGCTATTTTTACAGTCACTGGTAAAATATTTAAAGAATCCTGTTGGCCATTCGGCCAGGAACATGGCTTAATTTTTGCTATGCTCAGGAAATTATCCTGATCGTGTCCTCTCCTCCTGTGCTCTGGATAAGCAAAGAGCGACAGGATTTGATCCATTCACACACTTACATTTGGTAAACTATCAAGGCCATAAATTAGCTATGACATACGGCAGCAGAGAAGGAACAGCTTGGCAGTTTCTGTTCATGCAGTATTCTTGGCAGCAGATGTCCAGTGCAGTGCAAAATACCATCCAAAAGGTCCTTATGAAGGATCTCCTCCTAAGCCTACACTGCCAGACAATATACTCTGAAAAGGAAGTTCCAGATTCGTCCTTATCCTTTGCTTATGTGGAAGATGAGGATTTAACTGTGAGATGCCTCTTTCTCCTCAAGGGTTGTCTTTCCCTGAAATGAGTAGGTCACAGATTTTAAGACGGGAAGGGACCATGGAGATCAACTCATTTGATTATTACACAGTGCGTGTTGCATGTCCCTGGACAGTAACATCTTCCTCAGCCTTCCAACTTCTTGAGCACCCGGGGAAAAGTTCACAGACTCACAGATGTAGTCCTCCAACCAAACCCCTTATATACTGTTTCTGTAGAAGGTGCTGCCACACTGAAAGTGCAGGGGCAGAGCTAGAAAGCTTGTGCATCTCATCTCACTCTGTGCACCACCAAATTGCAGCCCACAAACTCTGCACAGTTCCTCGTGTAGTTCTGGAGGAGTTCCCCAGCTCCAGTGCAGCCTTCTGCTGTCCAGAAGGACCAGCACTGCCAATATTAAATAGAAAAAAACCATGAGACAAGAAATGCCTTTTTACTGTCTTGTTTATCTGGGTGTACTTGTTCCTAAAGCGGCATTTCTTGCTCATGATCGTCAGGAGGCAATGATGCTGACAGTCATTATTCCAACACTTTAAATCTAGAAAAAGGAAGATTTAAAAATAGAGGAAGTTTATAGAAAAATTTTAAAATATTAATTTAGCAAGATAAATAGATTTTTGTAAACAATTTTCCAGCCCAACATTTTGCCTCAGAGGTTGTTGTGTAAGGGGCTTGTTGAATATTCCTGTGTTACTGCTCCCTTGAAGGTTTACCTCTAGCGTAACCAAAGCTTTGGGACACTGCAGGGAAAAAGCAGGGGGGCGGGAGGAAGAAAAGATCATATATACTCATCCTGTTAGGCAATAAAAATATTTATGCCATATTTCCAACAAGAAAATGGGGCTGGTGGAAGGCGAGGTGTGCAGCCATTTTTTGGTGATAAAAGGAGAAGGAGGAAGTTGTATGTGTTCTTGTGCTAAATAAATCCCTCTTCCACTGAAAGGCACCAAGGTGGGTAAGGTGATGTTCCCAAGTCCTTCTTGGCTACAGAGCCACCTATATACCTCACCTTCCTCAAGCTCTTGTCATCCATCCCTGTCCGTCACCAGCTTCGTACTCTTTCCCAGACTAGAGCACTAACCCTTCCTGCTGCGAAATTCTGGCAAGGAATTAAAACCCTGACACGCTCAGCACTGATCCAAATCCTCCCAGACTGAACCTTACGACAGAAGAGCAGAAGGTGTCTGGGAACAAGGAGATGTACAGTACCCCGTGGTAAATTGGGTACATGCTGTAGTGAGGAGAGAGGAACAGAAATAGCACTATTGCCAGGAAGGGGCTTCAGAATGTCGTGATTGGTGCCTTAGCGTGCTCAGTGACTTGAATCCTCATTACTACCTGCTTCTGAGTGGAACGGAGAGCAGGACCACACGGGTCCCTTCAGTGGCCAGCCTTCCAAATCTGGGCATCTAAAGCTAAGTGTTCAACTCCATATATAGGTACCTACATGACGCCAGTTGTACAGATGCGACAGCAGTAATTAAGAGACAACGACATGCCTAAGTACATTTTTATGCTTCCAGTAATCAGACAGCCGAGTTTGACTTTTCCTCTGAGGCGCATCGCTTTAGCTCCTCACAGCACAGCAGAACATTCAGCTTCCCCCAATAATGCAGCTGAAGGGTGCAGGGGATTTTCCCACATATTAATTTCCTCTATCATGTATTCTGTTAGACACTGAACACATTTTTTGCTGCTGCGAGCAGGAGGTGCAGGCGTCAGATCAGAAGCGATGAAGGGTTTGGTGCCCAGTGTAGGAAGCGTTGCCCGTGGCTCAGCACAAGTTGCTGGGCGGCTACTAGAGTTTTCACGGGTCAAAGCTGCAGGCGGCATCCGACACTGCAGATCGCTAGAAACAAAGAAGGGATTCGCCCTTCAGTTTGGGGCTTTGTCCATAAACTTTTGCTGGGGGTTTCTCTGCTTTGGTTTACGGCTCGGCATTTCTCTCTCCTGCGCAGTCTTCCACCCCGTCGAGTGTTCCCCCTGCCACAGCGAGAGCATGATGGGGTTTCGCTACCGCTGTCAGCAGTGTCACAATTACCAGCTCTGTCAGGACTGCTTCTGGAGGGGCCATGCCAGCGGTTCCCACAGCAACCAGCACCAAATGAAAGAGTACACGTCATGGGTAAGGGAAGGCTCGCACCTCGCTGCAGACTGCTTTGCCCTCCAGCTGGCGGAGGAGCCCCCGGCCGCAGCTCCGGGCAGCCATCCGGCACGGGGAGGCCGGGAACCGGGCTGCCGGTTCGGATTGGTGACCCCGTCAGGGAGGCTCCGGCCTTGGGAGCCGTCGGGAGAGCGCAGAGGTGGGAATGGTCTTTTCTGGGTGAGGATCTGGGGCACCCGTGACGGTGCATGCTGCGGGGAGGGCAGCGCAGGAGGGGCTGGCAGCAGGGCGCCAGGCGCACGGCATCTTCTCCCGTTCCCACAGGACTCACGGTAAAATCGTCATTGGCTTGCTCTGTTTGGCTACGTGTAAATGAAATGATGAATACTTAATGCTCGTTCATCAATATTTTCAGTCGAGTGGCTGCAGCATATGCGTAGCATTTGGGATGGTCCTGGCACTGTAGATTTGAGTGTGATCACAGGCTTAGATCCACAGTCGTGTTTACTGTAGAGAAAAACACACTTCAATCTTTTCATTGTTAAACAAAATAATTCAATGCTTTTTCTAAGCTGAAAGAGAAGTATCAACAGCTACATTAACCTTCTCTGAAGGACAACAGACCTGGGGGCTAAGCTCTCCACCGACTGGAGCAAAGCCCCAACAGAAGCCCTTGGTCACGGAGCATCCCAATCCTTCAGGGTTCAAATCCAGAGACCAGCAGAAAAATCCTAACTAATCTCAAATATTACAAAAGTATATCATTAGGAAAAAAAGAAAACTATGCATATAGCAATAACTCACATTTGTACAGCACTTTGTGTTTTTTAACAAAGTTCTGAAGCTTCACACTTCTAAAATGTCTGGTTTTCTGTTGATGGAGCAGGCAAGGGTTAAATTTGACGTGGTTTGCTCTGTATGCCAGTCACACAGCCCTGCATCCCAGCCGATCTGGGTCTGTAATTGTTTTTGTGGGTCCTAATTGCTGCTTGTTGCATAGACACGAATGGCTTGAGTTTAGCCTCTGAACAGGAGAGTGCCCACCTCCATTCCTAACAGCAATTTATGCTATAAAACCATTTTTTGCTGTAGCCAGGGAGCTGTAATTAAAGGTAGGAAGTAATTGGAAAACTTAAGATTCCTGCTCAGCAGAAGACAAAGACGTGACTACATGCCTAGTGGTTTCAAATGTTTCCTTGTCAGAAACAAATGTTTTGCTTCATGTTTGAAATTGCCTTTCTGTAGCATTCATTAGCATTTGTTCAAACCTGGTTAGCATTCTCCATAATGCATCTGTATCGAGCTCCACGTGCAGATTAAAGGTGTTCATGGGTGCAGTGGAACTCAACTGTTCTCAATTCAGAGTGAAATCGTATTTATAATGAAAGAGAATAAGCCTGAACTTTACATATTTAGGTTGGATTTCTGTAATAGAAATATTTAGTTATTACCTTGATTACAGTCATAAGTCGATGCAGGATGTGTGTGCAGAAATACAGTACCGCTCCTGTTAAGTTCCAAAAAGATTTTTAAATTTCAGCATGTAGAGCTGTGTTTTGGGGGGAGGAGTCAGTGTAAGGATCACTACCCCTGTTTTACCGGCAGAGGAGCTGAATCACAGAGAGGTGGGTTGGATTCCCTGAGAATCTCTCACACAGCCTAAAAGACACCTTAGATCTCTGAGCCCTTCCTTAGAAAAGTGTTCAACTGCAAAGAGTGTCCAAATAAAACTAGAAAGCAGAAAATACTGGTTGGTTTTTTTTTTTAGTCTCGCTGATGGGATTTCAGGGTGAAAAGCATGCTTCTTGCGCAGAGCCTCCCCATCTTTTGGTGACAGTGATAGTACATCAGCCTCTTCTGGTGCGCTGCCGGCATGGTGGGGCAATTCCTGCCATGCACATGTCTCAAATTTCCCGTTCCCCGGTGTGGCAGGGGGTGCAGCGGCCACGGGAGGTGGAAGAGGAGCTTTATAACAGCAGCTCAAAGGTACAGGGTGCTGGAGCTGAGGAGGGAAATACTAGCGAGGAGAAAGAATATAGCAGCCTTGTGCCTGGCCTACAACTAGGAAGGAAACGGTGTCCCGTACAGTGTATCTATATGGACAGGCATGCATAGATTTGTTCTGCTTGCACTCCCAAGATGGTGAGGCATGAGCCAGCTCCAGTCCAGGTGACACTAACTTTGTACTGTCCTTCATTCAATACTACCTGAGTGCAGCATTGCAAAGAAGCCATGGCAACTGATCTGTCCATATAGATATACCCCCCGAGCCTACTCTAAAGGTCCCCGAAGGTAAGAGTAATCTTTCCTCCGAACTCAGCAGTCTTTGCCTTACCAGACTCTTGGGGTAGGAGGGAGGCAAGGGGGATGTCAGTCGATAGGTATGTAAGCCGTAGAGCTTCCTGTTGTTTTGTGCTTCCTATAGCAGAAACAGTATGCACCTTACTTGTCCAGATTACCTCTACCTTCCTTGTTCCTCCCAGAAATCACCTGCTAAGAAGCTAACTAATGCACTTAGCAAGTCTTTAAGCTGTGCTTCCAGCCGTGAACCTTTGCACCCAATGTTCCCTGACCAGCCTGAAAAACCTCTAAACCTGGCTCATATTGTGTAAGTATCTGTGTGCTGTAGAGAAAGTAAGCTTTGTCGTAGGAGTTGCTTACACCGAGTGTAGATGCTGTAGCTTTGAACAAAACGTGAGGCTGCTGTGGCGTACCAAGCTCAATGCATCAAGTGCAAATTTGCTGATAGGGGTATTTAATATAAAAATGTTCTTCTGGTGTGACTTCACTTGGAAAGTCAGTGGGATACGTACATATAACCAAATACTGGGACACGATGTTGGTATGTCCCCATTCTCCTCAAGAGATATCCATGCAATTTCATAGTTTCAGCACTTTGGGATGTATTCATGCCGAGAACATTAGTTTTGTCATCTAGAGACTCTCAACTTCAGTCTCTCACAGGTATGTCTTGACATGAGGGACCAGAGAAAAGTGAAGTCTGACCAATTTTGTTGAAATCAGTGTCAGAGTTCTCGCTGACTTTAATGGAGCTGTGGCTTCACCCAGCCCTGAAGAGTCTGCATAAGAAGTCACTTATTCAATCGCCAAGTCACTTGAAGAGAGTCTATTATCTTTACATTTTGATATTTTGGGAAAGCAAAATTTTTTTTTTGGTATAGTAGTTTATGTCACTACTTTTTCTGTGCAGGAGTCAAGAAACACAAAGCAGAGAGAAAGTGTATTTGCAGGGTGGAGAAATTATCACTTTGGATTTTTTTTTTCTAAAGTTTGTCCACCAGTTCCACCGTCCATAGTGGCAGGTTGTTGCGTTTTTTCTTTTTTTTATTTGTGTTTTACCTTTCTTTCCTGGGTCCTTCAAAAAAAAAAAAAGTTAAATTTTCCATAGAATTCAGGAGAAATCAAGACATGGTTTGGAAGAAAGTTACAAAGAAATTAACTTGGAAAAATTATTCCAGAAATGCTGTCTTTAAAGTATTTCTCTTACTCTGACATATTTCTTAAGAAAATAGCTTGCTTAACCGTCTTCCCAGGGGCCCTGACTGAAGCATTTCAGGCAGCAGCCATTAAAATTGTATTTGCATGCTGCATATCTGTGTTACTGGCTGCTGGAACTATTCTGGTCTGTAATTATTATACATACTTACTTTTGTCAGTACTGAATGTTTTGTACGTAGCATCTTTAAGGGCAAGTGCACATCGGCCATTGTGGGCCGTGCGACACCTGGAAAGTTCACCTAACCTACCTGACATTTTAAGGATAAATCATGCTGATGGTCCTCCTCGTGTGGTTATAGCAGAACTTTTTCGAGGCGTAAAAGAGTGCTCTGCTCTTCAGACACAAGGCACCTCTGACAGATACGTAGTGCCAAATCCCTGTTACACAACTGTCAGTTAAAACCCCTGCACCTCTTTATGGAGGTGTAATTGGAGGATGTTGTTCTTTGGAAGAAATCATCCGGAGCTGGATCTGCTGAGCTACCCCACTGCTGTGCGTGGTATAAAAGCCTGGCTCTGCTGGCAAGTTAGTGATAATTTCACAGGGCAGATTTTGGCCATCTTTTAGAGAAATGGAAAGAGACAGGGAGCATGAAACTGAAAGAGAAGCCTCTCTTCCCTGTTGGCTGGAGGCCCTCGAAGGCCTGGGGGTATCTCAGAAGATAACGAGAAGTAAAAACTGGGCTACTGTGAATGGATTAAATGCATTTAGGCAAGGCAAGGGGAAGGTACCATAATTGAGTAGGATCTGTTCCAAATCTTTGCTGTGAAATTAACACCTTCCCTTCTTCCTAACTATACAGACATAATTTAGAGTGATTGGATGTGAGAACAAACCACCATCTATTTTGCTTTATGATAGAGTTTCTCTTTCGTCATAGACTGAAGGCGATATATATTGGCTTGGCAATATATATTGGCTATAATGATACATGAGTGAAAAACCTGTAAGTTGTGGAGGTAGCATGATCTACAGCATAATTCATATAAATTAACTGAGGGGAGAGATATGCTACAGTACCTCACTGAGAATATCTTCTCGCTGATGTGATTTTTATTTTTAAACATAATGGGAGTTGAGAGAAACAGCTCTGGGCAGGAATCCAGGCAAAAAAGGGTTTATATGTGCATTAAATGGAAGAATTTTGGCAACAAAACAGTATCCTTTTCTTAGCTTCTAGCTTCAATGGGGACAAGTACTCTCTGCATTACTATACAGCCTTTCCTTTTCATCGTTATTCCACTTTTGAGTGGTACCAGACAGAAAGACTGCATGGGTTTTTTGTTTTACTGGTGCCACACAAAATTTTCAATTAGGCAAGAAACACATCTAAGGCTCATCTAGAGGAGTAGTTATCAAGGTGTCATTAACCTGATGGAGGAACTCCCCCCACCAATGGAAGGGTCATTTTTCCTTTCTGTATGTAAGATTTGCAACAAAAAAGAAACACCAGACTGCAGAGATGACAAATAGTGTGGCCAGTGCATCATGAAGGTATTTTTCAAATGCATTCTGCACTGACCTGACTTAGTTTCCATCTGAGTGTGTGGGAGCATTATTTTTGACATCAGTGTGAAGAGGTTAGACCAGCATGGAGCACTCTGGAAAATTCCTCTTATTTAATTTGGTTTATTACTGTGGGTATGTGTTATGCCATAACATGCATTTATTACATAGCATATTTCAATAGTACTGTGTTTTCTGCCTCCTTGAGGAAAGTTGCTTGAGTATCATCAGCTCACTTCTATGAGAAAGCTTAATCACTCATTTCCAGAAATTTAGAAATAACCTCAGAAAGATACACATTTATAGTCAATAGCTGACTTTTCCTTTGCTTTACCATAAAGTCTGCTGTTCTTGTCTTATCACATCACACAACTGTATATGTATGTTTGAACATAAATTTGATATTCAAGCTGAACCTGAGGAATGTGACAGTGGGCATCAGCCTTTAAGAAACTTGCCTTGGGAAAGCTCAGATTAGTTTAATATAGTTTTCTTCATATAAGAACTGACAAACTAATGTTAATCACAAAACCTTAGCAAAGCCTTGGAGTTTATAGACATTTGTACGCAAGGGTAACTCGGCATATGTAAACAGATCAATGACCTTTTATGCGTAGAGGCGCTCATGCTTTTTGCAGAATCAGAGTCATAAGAATGGAATATGTCCAATGCACTACTTACTTAGACCACATACATATTAAACTGACAATGTAATTAATGATCTCTTTTCCATTTCATTTTGGCTGCAAAAGAGATACTTGGTGAGTATTTTTCTTCTTTAGTACACTTATTGGAGGAAGGAGCTTGGAAAAAATGCAATAATGTCATTATTACCAATCCTTAACTTTTTATCAGAGTCCAGAGCCAAATAAATAATTGTCTTTGAATACAGAGACAGTGAAAGGGAAGAGCTCTTTTGGGGTTTAGAAACTTTCTCTTCCACCCCTATTTTGAGATAAAGCTTAGAGAAGACATTAACCCGAAGTGTGTATGTGGTGATCTGCTGAAGTCCATGGGTGCCACATACCCACTTCCTACTCAGTCAGCAGAGGTGGACTGGGTGCAAGGCAAAGCAGAGCCCAAGCTCTGCCAAGGGAGCACTCCTCCTGCCTCCTTCTCTGGGACAGTGTTGAGAACCAGCCTTTCCTCCCTTCTCCTCTGCTGTTTAGGACTCCACAGCCCAGGGCTGGACCCATCTTCCAGAAACCCCGGCCTGTGCCCCATTAGTTTTTGAATGTGTTCACTGGCCAGTGATTGCATTGAGAAAAGCAAAAATGCAGTAGTCGCATGTAGTTGGTGTGAACTATTTCTCCTACATCAATTACCAGTTTACACTTCCCAGGCAACAAAATACCAGTTGCTTACCCATTAAATAAAATTAATTTCTAAGTATTCTGTCAAAGTTTATTTTCAAATCTCTGTATTTCAAGACTCATAACACAATGACTTTTCCAGTGGATTGGCTCTGGTGATGGCCTCATCCAAGCTCTTCCTAGCTCTGATGAAGGGGTCCATGAAAAATAATTTTAAACACTTCTCCATAAGTACATAGAGCACAAAGTGCTGCTGCTCAAATTCGTGACTGACCAGAACCGGAGTTTTTCATGTGAGTCTGCAGATGCAGGGTTAGGCTAAAACTATATTTTCGTATAAATAAATAACATGCCAAATCCTACATCCTTCTATTCCCAGTTTTAAACTTCTTAAAATCAGCATGGTATTGTCATGCTGAGAATTCCATTTGGATTTGTCAAAGACCACATTTATGCTTGTTTTCTAACAGTTACAAAATAAGAAAGAAAACATGTAGCAATAGTTCACTTCTGTGCAGAACTGGCTTTCTTCATTTCTTACAGATGGTTTGGATGACCGGTTGTCTTGCACAATTGGAGCCCAGTGAATATTTTGCAGATGGCTACTATATTTTGATTTGCACATCTGCAGAATTCAGAAAGCAAGACAGATCTTTCACAGAGCTTAAAGGGGATATTAACCAACTTGAAATCTAGGCAGTCTGAAGTCTGAATTACATATGGCTTCAGGTTCTGCTCATATCTGATGGAAAACCCTGTGATATTAATAACATATTTTTTAGTTTTTCCAGAATGTCTACATCTTTTGCCCAATGTTGCATAAGAAGTCCATTAAGAAGGGGAAATTTCTGCTTAATGGATACAGAAGGAAGATTATGCATGAAATATTTTTTAAGAGTAGACAATAAAAGAAAGCAGAGGAAATATTCCTTCTCATTTCATTTTCAGCAAGAGCAGGAAATAAAGAACGTAATAATAAAACCATCATTATTAATGGGTCCTCTTAAACTAGAGACTTACTTCAAATTTTGATTTGGGTGTTTGATATACCAGTTGAAAAGCTTTGCAGTTAAACCGGTTTAGTTCTACATGTATTTTATGGGATACTGAGGGCTATGGGTACACTGTGGTCACTATGTGGATATGGACTCCACTAGCATGGAGCTTAGCGCCAGGGATAACCTCATGAAAAGATGTGTAATTTCTTGGCAGTTACCCCCCGCAGACTTCCATGCTGCCACAGCGAACCTGCTACCAGTGCTCAGCCTAACTGGTTGAAAGCAGTGACTGCACCCTGGACTACAGGCTCTGAAAAGGGAAAAAGGCATAGTGGTTATTTTGCCAAAGCAGGGAAAAAAATTAAGTTGCTTAAAACTCACCTCAGAACACACAAAAGCAGTATTTCCTTCCAGGCCTAAGTAACAGTGTGTTTTTATCAACTTCTGCTTAAAACCACAGCATCTTTAATTTGGAACTATTGCTGCTTAAAGCAGAAGATGCCAGTAGTAATGTTACTTTAAACAAGAAGGTCATTCAATTCTCTGTAAATACTGTTGCTGATGGAGGGGGGTTTTGTGCAAAATTAATGCAACTGGATATTTTGCCGCCTTCTAGGCCCCCCCGACCGGTAACCAGCATGAACGACACACTCTTCTCCCACTCTGTTCCCTCAGGAAGTCCTTTTGCAAACAGAAGGTGAGTTCTTATCCTTGTTTATATTAAACCATTATATGATAGTGGTAGAGGTTTCAATTTTCAATTCCCTCCCAGAAAAAAAAAAACAAAACCAAAAAAACACCCACAAAATAAAATTAACAGACATGAGCAGAGAAATACCTTGGTGATTTTGGACTGATATCCAGATATCTATCTGGAGAGCTGGAGTTAGGGCACCCCAAGCTCCTCACAGCAGAGCACAGAACTTCGGTTCTCATTTGAACCATTATGTCCAGCTAAAATGTGCTCACATGTAACCTAGGCACCCTCCCATGGGGCTGAAAATGGGCTGTTGAGAAGCCATTTTGTAGCAGCACTGTGGGAATAGGAACTGGGACATGCCGTTGCCTACTGGGAATGTCTGCATTGTGCTGCAAGATATGATATGAACAAAGAGAAAATGTGTTCATACTTGCAAGATATAGCAAGACATCCTTACTCCTGTTAAACCATTCAGATTTTCATTAAAGGCTACAAGAGAGAAGGAGTAGTCTTGGACTATGGTGACCCTTCAGCAAACAAACCAGAGAAGAGTCGTCAGAAACATTAATCCTAAAGAGAAGGTGCTTGCAGCTGACTATGTACATTTTGGCTCAGTATTTTGGCTCATACAGCCAAAATACGTGCGTAGCATTTGCTAGCTGTCTCACCCAATCTGTGTAAGCCTACCAACACACATAGATGAGAAGGTGGCAGAAAAATAACTTCCCGCTGTATGGGGGAAGATGAGCGATATGTCTTCGCTGGGTGCATTTTATTGCTTGGTTCCTGCTGTATGTGTCAGTGCTTCAGCTTTCCCAAATAACCAAACACAATCTCTGGGTAAGCATGGCTACATACTTTAACACCAAAACCAAACCCACAGTGTACCACACTGCAATGTCAGAGTAAAGATGGTTTACTGCTACTTTGATTTATGAACTTTGTTACCAGGAGCTATAAACTGTAAATTCTCAGTGTTATCTTAGTGCAAGTAGCTGCTGGGTGTGACTGAGATGCTTTTTGAAAGCCAGTCCCAAAGCGGCCCCCAAGACCAGATCTGCTGCCTATACAGACAGTGAGACTGCAAATGCAAATTCCTTTCTATTGTTGGAATATATGGGATTTTATGTGCAAGGCAGGATAATCTATTTGTGGCCTCTCCAGGACACGTCATTAAGAGCAATGCTCTTTAAGAGTGTACCAGTTGCTTCTGTTTATCCCCAAGAAGTCCTTGTGCTCATTCAACAAAAGTATGCTTTGCCATTTAGGCCAGGGACCTGCAGTAATAATCACAGCACTATCTACTGTGCTGCTTGTTTTTCTTTACATATGAAAAATTCCTGATTAGTTTACTTTTGTGTTCTTTAGTAATTCAACTGACTGTCTTTAACTATCAGGATTAAACGTACGTGATTCCTGAGCCATTAGAATTCCCTTTCTCCTAGAGGAAGAACTCCTTCGTGGAGAATCCCCTGAAGGCAGGAGACAATAACTGCCCCCCCAACCATAGGTACTCAGACTTCCTTATAAGTGGATAGTATGACATCCTTATACAGCAAAAAGTTTCCATGATGCAGCAGTCAGTTCTGGCTTTTTTAGAGTTAACAGTACCTTGATATGTCAAGCAATTACACTGCTTGTATATTAAAAGTTTTGTAACTTTTGTTTCATTGACCTAGCAGGATTTCAAGTGTTTGACAGCTTATTCTCATTACTTTTATTTTCATTTCTTATAAAATTAATTTGCATCTTTTTATTCGGAAGAAAAAGCACCCTACAAACTGTCAAGTCAGTATCCTTTCTAAATGGTTGCAAATTGCATTTATTGTAATGAACCCACTCTGAACACGCTGCTCTCTGTGTACAGTTTTTGGGGTATTAACAAGGTTTCGTTGTTTGAATCATTCAGGTTACTTGGGGGTATAAATGCAGCCAGTCCTGTGGCTGATGAGCATTCTCTTATAAAGCTGTATGTAAATCAGCTTCACAACAATTCACGGTCAGTATGAGAGCACTAACCCACTAATCGCCGTAGTTCTGTAGCTCATGCACTAAATCATTAGCAATTCTGCTAAACTACTAAAGATATTCTTTAAGGAAGACTCTGGTGGGCTAGAGGGTTTCTGTGGCTCTAATTAGTCTTTTGAATAGACTTCCTGCTGGCTGTGGGCTTTGCCAACTTCTCTTGCTTCTGCACGGCACAAATCTTTCATTTTACCCTTTCACGTAGGATTAATATTAATGTACCTAGTGGAAGTTGGAAACATTGTTTTTGAAAACCGAAAAAAACTACACCTTTATGGTTTCATCGTCAGTGTATGACTTGCCTGTTGCGTTCTTGACCGAGGAACAAAAGAGGCTTGCACGAGAGCCTGGAAACGACTCCAAGTCTCACAGCCAGCCTCCTCTTCCCCTTCCACGGCTCTCGCTGCTGGTGGTTAGTGTTCTGCTGTTAGCGCCGCTTGCCAATAACCTTCCCACTTTGCTTTGCTTTTCAAAATGGCCACAGAAAAGGCGGATCTAAATCCTACTGAAGCTAATGAAGACTTCCCATTTACGTGGTGAGCGTTGGATTTGGACCGATGCCTCTGGTTGCTGCACCCTTTTTCCAGCATTCCCTCTCATCTTAGAGGAAGAGCCTATTTCATTCTGCATAAAAGAAATATGCAGTTGGATAAGAACAGTTTCCCCATTTTTTTTTACTGTGGAGTGTAACGACCTTTCTTTTTTTCTTTTTTGATTAATCCATTACTATAATTCAGTAAGAAAGTACTGAGACCAAGGTACTTTTCTGCTAAATGCCAAGTTCTTCAATCTGTATTAGACTAATAACAGTATCTTCATTAATTCTTTTAGGTTTTACTATTGTTATTGCCCTGGGAAAATCAGGCCTCATTAGTGAAAGCTTATCCTCTCGTACATCAGAGAAACAGACTTTGACAGCTCTGTTTGCAATTGTGCTGATTTTATATTAAATGCTCTGTGATTCGTATTATAATAAAAATTATACAAACTCAGGGTAAAATCTTTAGCTGAACGTAATCAACTCTAAAAGCTCTGCTGGCTGTGTTTTCACTGCAGATAACTTATGGTTACTTCAATTTGTGTTGCAATCTAGTCCAGAGGTTTCAGACAGCTTTAAAGAAAGTTTTTATGTAATTAGAGTGTTTATTCAAAGGAGAATTGGCACAGACTGTCATTTGTAGCATTCCCATGGTATTTATTTCAGCTAGTTGTCTTCACATAAGAACATAACCATTCGCAACTGGTTTCTCCCTGTAGCAGCAAATGCTGAATTCAGCACGCTGACTCATTCTGCTGCTGGAAATGGATATGGTCTCATACGTTCAGCACAATATCATCTTCATTTCTGGATCCATGGGTGAAAAAGGGAAATGAACTGGGAAGAAGAAGAATCTTATTAGAGGAAAGATCTTTCTTTGATAACTAGTAAATACAATGACAAATTGTGGGGAACAGCTGAAAGGAGATTGAACATCATATGTTATTTGCAGTTTAATTGCATCTGAAGCACCGATTTTGGGTGGGTATGCAATTATTCCAAAGCTCAAAGGAGGTCGGATTCAGGCTTTCCCTGAGATGCTTCTTAATTTCTTCAAGCCACATCAGAATCAAAGTCCACATAAAATTTCCCTGCTTGCTTTGCTTAGTTTGAGCCACCAAGTCCATAAGAGAGCTTTAATGAGGAGGTTGGCATAACAATTAGAAGCACCTTTCTTCTAAATATATACTGCATGGAAATTGATGTCAACAATATGCTCTGTACAGCTCAAGAACAGCTTTAAAGCACTTACATTAGAAAAGAAGAAACAAAAAATCTGTGATCTCCTCCCAAATACCAAATCACAGTCATTTGCTGCGACGGCAGCTAATATGTGATTAAAACCACAAGTCCTGTATTTTTTTTACTGTAGCTAATATTCAGTTTTTAATCTCACATTTGTTTTTGTGATCTCCGATTACCTAGAGGGCAGCAGAACAAGGGAATATTGCTGCGGAGTAGGTAATGCCCTTGCAAATCCAGTGAATTGGATGTTATGTCAAAACAGATAAAGTGAGCATTATAGAAACTTCTGTCCAGTCAAGAGGAATAACTCTATACCCTGAATTAATGTTTTCTCCCTTATTTGGATTCTTTTGTTCCCCAGTTGCAGTCTGTCAGTGCTGCCTTAAAGTACATAGCTAACATAGTAATGGATACAATCTCCTTCTCTTTCTTAAAAAATGTCTTCTTTAAGGTATCGAATTACAGGGCTAAGGTGGGGTAAAATGAAACAGAACGTTTTTTCTTGCATTTTTCTCAGCCCTCCCCCCACAGGTAATACATTTAGTTCTTTTAAAGGAGTAATGAACTGGAATAAACGGAGTGATGCAGCACATTCTGCTGAACTTGAAATTACTTGGCAATTCTGCGGTAGAAAGAATGCACTATGGTATCAAATGCCCATAGCCAAGGAGAAATTGAGTCTTATTTAATGTTGAGTCAGAGTAGCTGGTGCCTTTTTTGAACCCCACATAAAAGCTAGAAAGAATTGGATATTCCACCTCGGCATAGCAAGAGATTAGGCCAAATTTCTGGACAACAGCTAACTTTGGAGCAAAACATAGTGGTTGCTGCTGTTGTCCATGTTTCTATCTCTAAAGAGTGTGGTAGACTTGAACTGCCTGTTGCCTTAGTATGTTGTTTTCAGAACAAGATGAGAATCCTCCTTATTTCATCAGCAATATTCTACCTGCTAAAGAAAAGGTTTATATGTCTGATTGTTTAGTAGCCAGGTAGACACTAAAGAGGGTATAACTTTTACACCAATATTGTTAGGTCTACATCTTTGTAGACATCTGCTCAGAGTTGGAGGTTTCGTCTCTTAATTTAGATGGGGAAGCATTCTTTGGCATCTTACAAAATGTTCCATTCTAACAGGAATATATCTTTAAAATCTATGTTCCAGTTGGTAGGACCCAGAGAAACTCACTGTGGCCAAAACAATCTCTGAAGTATTAGCTGTATTTTGGGGAATATGTGGAGGATGTAGGAAGATGTGGAAGAACAAGAAGGACAAATGTCAGCTCTTCCAAATGAAGGAAGGTTGAAGGCGGAAACACGGACAAAGATCGAAGGGATTATACAAGAGACAGCCTAACCTTGGTATCCAAAGATACTGAAATTATGAAAGAATTAGTAAGCACCCAGAGGATAATAAACCAATGAGAAATAACCAGCAGGCATTTGTCAAGAACAAATTATGTCAAACCAAACTAATTTGTTTCATTGACAGGATAACTGGTCCAGTGGGTAAAAAAGAAGCAGCAGATATGATACAGGTTGACCTTAAAAGGACTTTTGGCATAGTCCCAGATGACACAGAAGTAGCCAAAGGAAACGTGGACTAGGGGAAATTAGTATAAGAGCAACATTGAAAATCAGTAATTACATTTTCAAAAGTTTGCTGTCATTCTAGGAGGAGGACATATCAGCTGGGATTCTTGAAGGCTATCCTAAGTCAGACGCTATGCACTATTTCTTGTAATGACCTAGTAGAAGCAATAGAGTGAGTGTATGCAATTTGTAGATGGTACAAAGGTTGAAATAGTTATGGGAAGGAGTGCTTGGAGAGCAGTTTCTAAATTAAAAAATGAGCTCAGTTGCAATGGTAGTAATTGATGTCCAAATGATCTGAAATCAGTTAGAGGAAACTCAGTAATTATAAGTGAAAAGTGCTGTAGCAAGGAAGCAAATAATCTAATAAAAGATGGAGCGTAATTAGATGGACAGAAGTATTTTAACAGAGGACCTAGCAGTTGCAGTGAACCACAAACTAATTGAAGTCAGCAATACGATTGTTAGATTGCATCTGACCCTGGGACATCATGTGGAAAGCCATTAAAACTCATTCCCTGGAGGAGGAGACATCTGCCCAGAGGTTTGCACCCAGTGTAGGGCAACAGCACGGGGACAAATAAGCTAACCAGCATGACAGTCCAGAGGAGACACTCAAACATCAGAAAAACTTAGAAAACATAACTCATAAGAAGAGGTTGGAAGATATGTTTGCTTAATCAACTAAGAAGGAAATGGACATTGATAGACACGTTATCAATTGCTCAATGAGTAACATTTGCTTGCTTGTCCCTCCGCCCTGACTATGTTGCTTCTGGAGCATAGGAGAGGAGAACTTAGGGTTGGTAGAGGGGGCATCACACTGCACTGTTAGAAAGCAAAGCACAAAATCTGCCCTGGGGTCTTTGGTCTCCCATTGTGGCAACATATTTATCTTTACTTTAAGAACCAAAAGCTGCATTTTTGGCTGAAATGGCACACCCTGTACCCCTTGAATGCATTTTCCTTCTGTAACTGGGAAGAAAACGTGGGTGGAAAACGTGTCCTCCTAGATGGCATGGAGGATGTTTATCTGCGTGGATATCGCTTCAGTGGAAGCGCAACACACATAAGTAGCATGCTGATGGGCATAAAAATGTGAAGCAAGCATTTTTTCTTGCTGTGCAGTACAGCATTTCATTAAACTATCTTCCAAATTTATTATAAATCAATAGGGCTTGGGTTCTTAGGACACCCTTCGGTACCATCCTTTTCAGAACCCCGCTGCCAACCTTGACCTCCCAAAAGGAGGGGAATGGCACACACCTCACCTTACTGAACTCCTTCTTTGTCCGAATATTAAAGGATTTGATCTTCAGTCCATCAGAGCCACATCTGCTCAGATTTATCATGCATCACATTTGTGCAACATCATCTGCCTATACACACACACACACACCCCTGGATGCACAGGTGCATGCATGCTCACCCATCTTTTGATCGAAGACATTTACAGTATCAGTAGCCAAACCAAAAAATAAAGGTGAATACTTTTTTAAAAGAGGAAAGTAAAATATCTTTTGGTTTTGCTTTGTAGTTTTTTACACCAAAAATGCTGCAACATGAAAGAAAAACTAACATTTCAATCTCTCCATTTTTAGCGAGATTTAGATAAGATAAGATTTATCTTATTAACATGGATATTTTAGCATTGGGAAAGATGCAGTTACTGCAATCCATTAAATACAGTAGTAAGGAAAAAAAGTGGGTTTGATGAACTCCATATTTTTTTAAATCAACGGAAGAACAGTACTTCTGAAAACTAAACTGGTGTATCCCATCACTGGATCTAAATAAGTGCATTTCCATAGGTTATTGAAACTATCTTATGGCAAGTGTGGAGAAGAGCAATTTAGCTGTTATGGTGAAGCTTTCCCAGCTTGAAAGCTGCATTTAAGGTGATGTTTATCTCAGACTCCACCTGGAAACTACACAAGCCTTCAGCTCTCCATTTGTGAAAGAAGCACATTTTGTTTGTCTTTTCTGTGGTGAAGGCTTTATAGTTTCCTTTTGGAGAACAGGAGGGAGAACTCTAATTCCTGACTTTGCATTTCCTGAAGTTTTCTAAAATTTCTTTAAAGCTTCTGTTGTTATTTTTATACAGTCCAGGGCGCTTGAATGAGTTTCTCCAAACTCTGTTCTGTAAGGAATTTCAGACATCACTGTTTACCCTCTTCTTAGTTTTCCTGTCTTATTAACTAGCTCTCCTTCCAAGAATACTGAAGTAGAGCAGAGCAAACTGCTGGCTAGGGCTGCTCCAGCTTTCTTGAAAGGCAAAGGGTAAGTTAAAGAGAGAGTATGTTCGTAGCTTGCACTAACACAGCTAAACCAAAACCTTTGCCTCTATTCCTCTCGCTTTTAATGTATTCTATAAACATCTTTCCTGAGAAAATTGTGATAACCAATTAACCCAGTGAGCTAAGTAGGGCATGTTTAAATATATTTATGTACACCTGGATGCGTGAGGTCTTGATCAGACACTTCCAAGCAAATCCAACTTGTGATTTCAGTATGTTAATTGTGTGTAACATATGTATATTTAATGTATATATGCAATACATAGTATCTTAAAGCAAATAGTGCCGACCTCACAATCTGCTGTATTTTGAAATAAATGGTACCGTACAGCTCCAGTCCCTGGCCCGATCTGGCATCTCACTGATTTTTGAGGCTGGCTCTGTAATCGAGTGGGATTCTACCATCCTAAGCCATTAAATACTTAACATATAAATTACAATAATAACAAAATAATTTCTGCGCTTGTTTTTTTTTTTTCCTAAGAACACTTAAGTATTCGTTCCTAAATTCCCATTTCACAATCTTACTTGCTCCTGCTTTCTCTGTTTATTTCCCTCTGTCTGTCCGGACCGCACCCTCTCTCCCCCCGACCCCGTTTCAGGTTACAGTACAGCCTCGATGTTGCAGACAGGCTGGCCGATGAACATGTACTCATCGGGTTGTATGTCAACATGCTGCAGAGCAACCCCGCACGGTTAGTGCAGGTTTGGCACCTTTGGGGAACCCAGGAAAGGGACGTTGGTCGGCCAAATGCTCTCACTGTTTCCTCCTGGCTACAAGCTGAAGCAGCTCTTTATGAGCACTAACCTAAAGGGAATGCGTATGAATACGGGGTATGTCCTCCCAAAGTTGGTGGATTGTGGCAATTGCTGTTTTTCTCTCTAGTGATGTTAAGTAGCAAGGTATTGCAAATAATTGCTCAGTTAAGAATGGCTATACAAATTGATTTGGGATACCATGCTCTAGTCAGTGCAGGACTTGGTGATGGTACAGAAATCTTCATACAACGATGACTAACAAGTCCGTGTTTTCAAGGTAATAATTTTTGAGGTGATATATAATTTTTAGCTTCACCTTACCTTGAAAGGAAGAAGTGGTAATAGTGTGTAAACAGTGATAATAATAATAATAATAATAATAATCTGCTTATTAGTCTAGTGAAGGAAGGAGTTCATTTCAGGCCACCCCGAGGAGGGGAAATGCTGGCTCGCCTCTCCAAGTGCAACAAAACTCTAGACTTCGCAGCCCTGTACCAGCAAGGTGGAGAGCGGTGTAGTATATGGTCCTAGTAAATGTGGCACTGAGCAGAAAACTGTACGGTGTTTCTAACAAAACTGTGCTCATGAGGTTACTTTTGCTCATAATGAACCCTTTGGTTTCCTGTACTGCTATTGCAGAATTTTTCCCAGGTTAGGAGAAAGTCTCCATTTACTCTCATATGTAGATAAGGCAACAAGCAACTTCTTTTGGGAGGGTGAATGCAATGGTTCTCTGCAGTCTTACAAAATTCACTTCTGTGTGTAGCTCCAGTTGAAAATGGGAGTAATTTGCCATGTAGCTGTGCCCAGTGGAGAAAAGAGTGCCTTCATTGGTCTGGGTCTGCTTCTCTACTCTGCATCCCACTGGAATGTGCCAGTGGGGAAAAAAAAGGCAAACCGGTTTTTAGTGAGGAAAATGAAAACCATTTCTTCAAAACAAAAACATTTGGAAAGGGAATTTCATTCCTGGAGCAGCACTTCCAGAAAGCAGGCTTACTGAGTAATATTTACAGCGTGGCTGTGAAAACAAGCTGTTGGGTGCGTGTGTTTAGACCAGTCATTGCCCACCCATAACTGAAAAGGACAGGAGTACGCTACCACTCGGTCTAGTTTGACGGGGAGAAGGAAATGTGGCCCTGCCTACCACGAGTGACTTACCTGATACAGTTGTTCAAGAGGCCAGCAAAGACTGGACCTGGTTTAGAGTCATTTTTGGTGCTAGGCTACTGGTACTATGTCTGTAATTCATTTAGCTTCAGTGAGGACCACCAGTTAGATCCCCTTGTGAGTGCTTAGCCTCATCTTTACCATCTTCATCCTCTAAATTTTATCCAGTATATTCCAACCTGTTTCTTCAAGCTTTTGAGCCAACCTCACTAAGTCATAGTATGTTTGTATCCAAATATGCACATACAAATTATGTGCCATAACATCCTTCAAACTGAATGTTTTTGAGGGATGAATAGAGAGTGACTGATAATGGCCTTAATTGTTTAAATAACCAATGCAAAGTGTATTACGTAACATCTGATTACTGACATTAAATCAATGCAGTCACAGCATCCTCAATGAGAAACAATCATCTCATTTATTAGATTAGATTTTGACAGATGTAACCGAGAGGAACAGCAGTCTTTGTCGTGCATCAAACCATGCTGCATTGCCATTTTCTGCTTTGCTGCAATGAGACTGGTAGTAGAGAAAGTGAATGGTTATGTTTTGGTAAAGACAAGAAGAACAAAGTGTTGCCATCCTGAAGCTCCTGCGTGAAGCCAGTTTCTAGGAGAGGCAGGTGAGGCCTCTGCAGGAGACTCAGCTGCTGCATCCCATATAGCCTGGGGAGGCCCCTTCAGGCAAAGGTGAACTCCTTCTGCCCATGCCCCGAAGTGGCCAGATGCAGTTTGCTCAAAACCCACACAGATGTGTTAGGATGGTGCTGAGTTCAAGTTATTTCACCCTGCAGCTCAACAAGATCTGGCAACTTGAGTAACACATGTAGTTAACCATAATCAGGTAGCCTCTGATTTAGGGGAGTCTGCAGCTAGCCAGCTCAGCTGTTGTATCTGCCTGCAAAATACCATGTGTGCGTACCCATACATGCCATTGCATATTTTCAAGTGCTACTGACAGCCAAAGATGAAAAGAGGACTGATTGTAGCTGGACCTTCATCTGAAAGAAAAACCTACAGAAATACTTTGTGAGCATAATACATAACATTATCTTGAGAGCTATATAGTAGCATTTCAAAATAAAATGGGGGGGGGGTTAGATATTGAGTCAGGCTAATTTATAGTGGCTAATGATCAGTCCAATATAGCCCAGTATGCCTTTTTTCTGTCTTAAGGGTAGCTAGTATTTATATTTTGGGG